GTTCTTATTTGCAATATTTTTAAAGATTTACAAAAATTTTTTTTACAATTTAATCATAAAATTATTAAAAAGAACTTTATTACATAAAAGAGAATGATAAGAGCTTTCAAATAAAAAATCCATTTAATATTCATTAGTCTATTATTGTTGAGAAAAAGTAACTTGAATTCTTAATTTTTTTGATTTTTTCTAAAATGATTATTTTTTAATACCTCCATGGTCATATAACCATGAGGACGACGCGTGTCGTATTTTATAAATGATCGTTTTTTTTTTGAAGCCTGGACATTCTTGGACATTTGGACGTTTGGACATTAGATGTGACCTAAAAAGTCTTGGACTTACAGTAGTAGACGTGACAACATTGTGCTAAATGTCTAATTGAATATAAGGATACTTATGATAAATGTTAAAAACAAAAATAAAAGGATGACGTTGAATCACCAAAACATTCGAATGGAGACCACCCTGAAGACTTCTTTGGATATTAACTATAACAGTTTAAATCATAAAAAGGAAAGTATTAATGATGACACATCGCAAGAGCGCCTTTTGAATATATTTGAATTTTGGTGATAATTATTTTGAGCCTGGAAGAAGAACTAGCGAAGACACTTTAAAAAACATCACTTTGACTCCTTTGAATTTTGGAAAAGCATTAACAGAGATATTGTGAACTAATTTCTTTGAATTTTATTCAAAAAGACACCTTGCAAAAACACCATTCCGGAAATTAATCGAAGGGTGGACTTCTTTGAACCTTTACCTCTTGATTCTGCAGATTTTTGGGTGAGTGCATATAATTAATAAGTATACAATATTATAGTCAGACTAATTTATATAACTTTTGGCAATGCGTTACCTTCAGAAATCACATGTGAAAGACGCAAAATATTCTACAAAATTTAAATTGGACTTATCACATTGTTATTAATATATATTTATAGCATTTAATCTACGTCATACATACTAGGAACGAAGTTTTGCGAAAGTAAACCGGTGAAGATATTGGTTTACAGCCATGTTCAATAGTGTGCATCAGTATAAAGAAATTTCATAATGTCGGACCGAATTATGCTGATCACGAGTCAGGATTACATTAATGCCGGTTGAATTAAACGGTTAATACATTAAACATTTAAGAAATTTTAGGCGTTCCAATCCTTAATTATATACAAGTACTATACATGGATTACAGAATTATTAACTTCATAGTTGTTTATAAATGATCTAATCACACGTTTTATTTTTGTAAAGTCTATAATTCGAATTGACACCAACGCTATTTTTAATAACTGCAGTATCAGGTAATTAATAAACACGAGTCTCATCTAAAATTGTTTATTCTTTAAATTTGCCAACCTCTGTAGAGGGTGACTTACATTGGTCGCTTAGATTTTGATTTAGAGTAGAGAGGTTGAAAAATGATGTTAATTTTATTTCGTAATAATGGAAAATACTGTGAACCTATCTATTGATGAAACTTACACTTAAGGGAGGAACTTTCATTGGCGTATGGAACGATGGTCTTGAAAATTTTAAACGATCAAGTGTCCGAAAGGAGGAAGATTGTCGTTTACGAAAGTTATCAAGACAGGAGGCGGCCGATTGTTTAACGATACTCTATTAACGATGAAATTATAAAGATTTTAACTAATTACTGCCTCAGATAAATAAAGTAATAAATAAAATAATTGAGTACTTACTTGTGCATGAAAGAGTACGGCTAAAGAATCGTAAATAACACGAAAATCATGTCTATCACGGGGCAAGTAAAAGACGCCCAGTTGCACCATTCGATATAATGCATCATACCGAAGGTCCATGATATACAAAGTACATCTGAATCCTATAAAAAAAGTGGAACAACGGCGAAACCTTAATATTAGACCTTGAAAGTTCATCAATTTAACTTGCTAAAAAAATCGCTAAAAATAAGCCATTTAATGGTGCTGAGAACTATTAAAATAAGTACTATTTTAATATTTTATAAATATAGTTGCTAATTATTATGCTAATAAAATGTCAATATTAGCAATGTATTAGAAATATTTTAGCAATAATATAAGGCTTAAAAATTACTAATTCATTAAGCATTTAAGAGCGCTGATGATGAAATAATACATTATTAAAAGTGCTAATAATGCACTTTATGCCAATACTTGCAAATTTTTGCAAAGTTGAAGCGATATAGATTACTTGCCTTCAACTAATATTCCACATACTGGAACATTATCGTATATGCCATCGTCTACCATCTTATCAATACAATACTTCAATTCATTGCCCAATTTTACAAGATCATTTAACGTATTTTTGTTTGGTGATTTGTGTATCAAAGGTTTGATCTCAGCTATGAGCAAATTCTCCCTCTCTTGATTTGCAGAGGCATAAACTGCAAAATCCGGTTCTAAAGAGGGATCAAACTTCTTTTTGCGATGTGCAGATGAATCAAGGGCCTCATTCGCCCTAATTGAATATTTAATTTTGAGAAAAACAAATAATTCGACTTCCTGTGCAAATTATATATTATAAAAACATTACCAAACACTAGTATATTCAAATGAATCTTTAAAAAAAGGAGACATAATTGGTGAGAGGACTTTGTGGACGAATGAATCCTCATGGAGGTTCTCCATTGTGCCAGAGAGTGTGTATACGTTGAGCCTAAAATGAAATGCAATAAGTATGATGATAATCAATTACTCTTGCTATAATTTGACTTACATATTATGAAACACGTCGAATATTATATCATCAGTTTCTTGGTCACTTGATTTGTACCAGTTTTTTAGCAATAATTTATTGTTCTTAAAATCACATCGGACCATCTAATTACAAAGCATGCAAAATAAATTATATAGCATTAACAAACTAATTGTTAGTATAATTTTTACCTTTGCCATTTCATTGCATTTAGACAGCCAATTATCCGGCAGGTCAGGTAATGGATATTCTTGGTAAACTTGTTGAATAGCACTATCCCAGAGCTTTCCGTCAATAATATGACCATCGTTCTCCGAATCTTGCATCAAGAAAATATAATTAAGAGCCCTATAATTATTATGTAAGCATTAATGCCAACATTAACATTTAATTCATTTATAAAAGAATTGATTAATTCTTACAAAATCTCGCTTGACCTTTCAATTCTTCCATTTGATGCCTTCATGATCGAAAGTTTGCGAAATTGAAAGAATAGATCTGATATATTGGCCCCATCTAATATCCACTTGATAAAAAAAATAAATTTAATTTATAATTCAATTAATCTATCGTTATTGTTTTTGAAACTATCAAAGCATCTATGTGCTGGAATTTGGAAAATAATAGATTCATTGTATCTCCGATTCGTATTTGAATCACTAATCGATTTACAACTTCAGTGGTTTATACGTTTATTTACCATGACCAAAAAACATTACCTTATTTTGAATTTTAGATACGTTCGTTTCTATATCTGCTGGCCCTACAAAATAAAATATCATTGCTTTTTGTTTCTCTATTTTGTCATCCTCATCTTCTTCGGTCCCATCTTCTTCACATTCATCAGGCTTCCATGATAGATCGCTTCCATTACTGGGAGCTTTACTATCTGATTTCTCATCACTGAGTAATTCACTATCTGATTTTGCATGTTCTGATGAAGAATTGCTTCCATCACTGTGTGATTCACTATCTGATTTTGCACGCTTTGATGACACAAGAAACGGATTGTTTACAGCATCTTTTTGGATCACATTGTGCTTTCTATTTT